TGGTCTTCTACATCCCTCTCTTCTTTCTTGTCCCTCAGATAGCGCGGATTAGGGCGATCTGCTGCCCTACTTTCCTGTTCCTCAACACCCAGTCGAGGGACCCAACACAGAGATCGAGTTTCTCTCTCTGTTCGGCATTTTTCCTTTTGTTCCAGTTCGGCCAGCACAGTTTTGGAAGATGATAGATGGGATAGATGGGATTTTTCATCTATCATCTCCCTCTTTCTTTCCCGACCCACGTGACAACTTAAAGTGTCATGTGGGTCTCTAAGAGTGTTTATGCTATCTGGCTCACCCAATCTTCGAACCAACTCAGAGTGTGCGCCCTGGTTATTACCATCCGAACCCAAACCCCTTCTTGCCACATCAGCATAGGACTGTCGACCATAGCCAAAAGTCTTTAGTTCAAAAAAATTTGAATTAATTGCTTTAAATGGAGTGCTTTGGGACTGGTTAACCTCCTGCGACTGTTCCCCTTCTGTTTTCATTGTAACAGTCTTCTTCAGCCCCTGAAAGCCACGTGTACTCCAACCGGCCACCTCAGCATCTCCCTTTTCAGCTGTTTGTCTTCCCCAAAGCGACGCTTCAGCTTCTGAGGCAATCCAAACTTTGTTCCAGGCACCATCCGAGCATATCTCAATCGAACGGGGCATTTGTTTTGGTTTCAATCCTGCAACTCTAAGTTCCACTGCTCGCAAGCTCCTCTGGTTTATCTCCAACACTACTCCACCCAAGGTTTTTGCTATTTTTTCAAAAGTTGTTTCATTCCAGAGGTGAAAATGAAGTCCTAGCAACTTAATCCGAAAGCTACCTTCTGGTTCGATTTCATTACAGATTGGGATCCATTTTTGTATCTGTACCAATCCACCATCGATCTGTATCGTGTTGAAGCTCCACTTCTGAACGTCAACTTCCAGGATAGCTTTCTTCTCAGAGAAAGGCAATAGTATAGCATCACCTTCCAACTTTAACTTTTGTGCCACTGCATCTAGGATTTTTGTCCAGTCCTTTACTTCCCTTTCAACCGTTAGAACCATTCTGTGCTCCCAATTTTTCCTCCATTCTTCAACTGTTAATCTCCAACGTACGGTTGAGCTTGCTACCGTTACTTCTTGACAGACAGGGGTCTGGTCCAGGTTGGTGTTAGGTAACCACTGGGAGGAGTTGCTTCCTTTCGGTGATTCTTCTGCTGCCTCACTCTCAACTTTCAAGAGGAAAGATTGAAGACTGCCAGCAAAGGAGGCCCACTCTTGTTTCCTCAGACCTTGAGGCACGCAAATCATCTGTTTTTTATTAATGCCAAAGTGTTCTTAAACTGTGAAAAACCAGCCTCTCTCGTTCCTCTTCAGAACCGCTTCGTATCTTTTTCCAGAGTTGCCGAAAGAATTTTTCCACCCTTCTGCCTTGATTGAGTTAACTGTTCCATCTACAAAGCCTTTCAGCCAGAAACAGGCTTCCTTTGGTAAAAGGATCGTAGCCCTGCTACCTTCCCTGACTTTCAGGTACTCTTTACCCCTTGCTCGTCCCTGCTCGAAGATGAATCTCTTCGTTTCAATCTCAGATCTTTTCTCCACCTCCCCGCCAGCCTAAAACTTTCCTCCACTGCCATTCGTCAAGTTGTCACAAGCTAAGATACTATTCCAGAGTTCCTAATTGAGGACCCATAGGTGTTGAAAGGACTTGTACCGGTAGCTACCTAATAAGGGTTGAGTCTGGGCAAACCTTTGAGTTTCAGAAATATCATTTTATCACTCTTTTTACTGCATGATATTGATGCTAATTTGGTTTTACATTAGTATCAATTTCTTCATCATCAACTTCAGTAAAACTTAATGATCTTCCAGAGTCTTCTTATTGTTCCTACATCTATTTTTTTATCAGTAACTATCAAAGATATTTTATTAATAATAAGAAAAACAAGCTTGTGCATTATCGTTACATCCATCATTCATTGATTGGTTGGTTCCCTGTGAAAGATGGTAGGATCCATCTAATGGACGCCAATAAGGTTGCGGAAWGGGTGGGYRAATTTCAAAAATTTTCCTACCTTCTTCCAACTGGGAATCATATTCCCTAAATTTAGAATACTATATTCAAGGATCCTACTTGAACCATAATCGAACCAGAT